AAGAGATTTGGAAGACAGCTACCTGGCCAACTGACTGGAAGAGATCCATATTTGTACCCATTCCAAAGAAAGGTGATCCCACAGAATGTGGAGATTATCGGACAACATCATTAATATCTCATGGAAGTAAAATCTTACTGAAGATGATTCCAAAATGATTGCAGCAGTGTATTGACAGAGAACTTTCAGAAATGCAAGCTGGATTCAGAAGAGGATGTGGAATGAGGGATATTATTGCTCATGTTAGATGGCTCTTAGCTGAAAACAAAGAATACCAGAAAGATGTTTACTTACATTTTATTGACTATAAAAAAGCATTCTATTGTGTGGATCATAACAAATTATGGATAACATTGAGAAGAATGGGAATTCCAGAACACTTGATCGTACTCATGAGGAATCTGTACATAGATCAGGAGGCTGTCGTTCAAATAGAACAAGGGGATACCGTGTGGTTCAAAATCAAGAAGGGAGTGTGTCAAGGTTGTATCCTTTCACCATACTTACTCAGTTTGTATGCTGAGCAAATAATCCGAGAAGCTGGATTTTATGAATGAGAATATGACATCAGGATTGGAGGGAAGCTCATTAACAACTTGTGTGATACACTGATGACACAACTTTGCTTGCAGGAAGTGAAGATGACTTGAAGCACTTACTGATGAAGATTAAAGATTACAGTCTGCAGTATGGATTATACCTCACTATAAAAAAAAACAAAAATCCTCACTACTGGTCCAATAAACAGCTTGATGGTGGATAGTGGAAAGACTGAAGTTGTCAAAGACTTCATATGACTTTGTTCCACAATCAACACCAATGGAAACAGCAGTTAAGACATCAGACGGCATATTGCATTGGGCAAATGTGCTACAGAAGACCTCTTTCAAGTGCTGAAGAGCAAAGATATCTCCTTGAAGACTAAGGTGTGTGCCTAACCCAGGCCATGGTATCTTCAGTTGCCTCATATGCATGTGAGAGCTGGGCAGTGTAATAAGGAAGACTGAAGAAGAGTTGATGTTTTTGAGTTGTCCTGTTGGAGAAGAATGCTAAGAGTACCATGGTTTGCTAAAAGGACTAAAAAATCTGTCCTGGAATAAGTGTAGCTGTAGTGCTCCTTGGAAGCGAGAATGGCCAGACTTCATCTTACCTATTTTGGTCGTGTTGTCAGAAGGGACCATTCCCTGGAGAAGGATATCATGCTTAGTAGAGGGTCAATGACGAAGGGGAAGGCCCTCAACAAGATGGACTGACACAGTGGCTGTGACGATGGGCTCAGGTGTCGCGGCATTGTGAGGCTGGCACAGGACTGGGCAGTGTTCTGTTCTTTTGTCCACAGGGTTGCTGTGAGTTGGAGCCAACTGCACAGCACGTAACAACAATGCTGTTCCTAGACGGTTGACAGGGTTTCCTTCTTAGATATTGGAATGAGTTGAGTGAGTCCATATCCATAGTGCTAAGTCAGTCTGGGAACTCTCCTTTTTCTTACACAGGCTAATGTCTTGTCTTTCATTTTTATCTAATGGTAATTAAAAAAAAACCTCACAACCATGGAATTGGATCTGACTCACAGCGACCCCTCCTTGGGTTTCCGAGGTGGTATCTCTATGGAAGTAGATTGCCCAGTCTTCCTTCTGAGGAGTGGCTGGTGCGTTTGAACCACCAGCCTTCTGATTAGCAGACAAACGCCTTACGCACAACGCCACCAGAGCTCCCATAAACAGGATTGGAAATTGCATTTATTGTTGGAGGCCCGTTGCATTACTTAAAACACAGTTTCTAGACCTAAGTGTCTGTGTAAGTTTAGTCCTACGAACATACATTTTTTTCTGCTTGTGTGCAAAGGGATATTTATCTTGTCAGAATTGCATGCTATAAAGTCATGAAAAGTGCGCTCCCCCAGTTTCTGGGGCACCATCAGGGTGTCCCTTGGCAATGACTGATCCTTTGGGACCTGGTGAAACTGTCAGCCGGTTGAGGGCCAGGCTGGCAAGGGGAGGGGCGCGGGGCTGGGCCTGGTGGGGCAGGAAGGGAGGGGAAGGAGCGGGCGGTTTGAGGGGTGGGATGGGCTAGGGGCGGGGTGTGGGATGGGGCGGGGCGATGGCCGGGAGCGGGACCGGGCGGGGTGAGGTCCTCTGGCCTGTGACTGCTGCTGGCTTGGCTCAGCAGTCTGCTGTTAACTTCTCAGTTCACTCCAGATAGCCTTGTGTTTAGAAGAGGCGTTATGAAAAGTAGAACAGGCATGTGGCTTGTTCATAATGACGTTGGCACACACGCGGGTCGCTGTGTCCCCTCACCGATCTTCCCAGGGCCCGTGTGTCCTGGCCGAGCTGCAGGGCCATCTGGCTCCCGTGACTGCGCTGGCGTTTTGTGCTTGGCAAGCCGACACTGTCATCTCTGTGTCTGAGGACAGAAGCTTTAAGGTAAGGGGCGGATGGCTGAACCCCCCTAAGGTGACGAGGGCACCCCGATGGTGTGCTGTGTGGCGCATGGCCACAGGTGTCACTGCATTTTTACCTGAAAGAGAGCTGTCATCAACTTCGGTGCTGGTCAGAGGCGACCCCCTGTTCCCAGACTGGCCTGGGATCCAGGCTGAGGGAGCCAGACCTTAATGTCTTGTGTCCACAGTATTTCTGAGCCTTGGTGCAGAAAGCTGTTATCCAAGACCAGAGGCTTCAGCCCAAACTGAACTGGGCTTGGGAAGAAGGTCAATGAAAAAGCCAGTTCAGTTCCTGTCCAAGTGCTTGGTTGGCACATTGTCACAGCCCTTCCTCACCAGCTGAGAGAAATTGTAGTGGGAAGAAAAGTTGGAGGGAGATAATATACAATGCAGGAAGACAGGGAGACAGATGGAGGTGGAGCTATTGTGGAGATACCTCCTTGTCGCCTTAAAATCCCTGTAGGGTGAACAGAGCCGTGGGAGTGCAGTGCCTAAGAGCTTGACCGCTAACCCAAAGGTTGGCAGTGCCAACTGACCAGCTGCTCTGCAGGAGCAAGACGCGGCGGTCTGCTTCCATGATGACAGCCTTGGAGACGCCGTGGGGCAGTTCCACTCTGTCCTCTAGGGGCGCTGTGGGTGGGGATCGACTCCACGGCAGTGGGTGTGGTGGGTTAGTGCCCTAAGGTAAAACAGATGTGAAATGTATTGCTTCTCCCTCCCTGCAGAAGACTGTATGGACTGGGATCCCAGCTCCACTCCTTATCTTCGTCTGTGGGACAGAGGGACAACCCTGTGCCTCATTTTTTTTACCTCTAAAATGGAAGTGATGGGACCAAGGGTTGGGAGAATGGGAGGTTGACCTGGGTGGGCACGGCACGCAGCCACCACACAGTGAGGCATTTCTGAGTCCCATGAGGGCTGCCCCAGCGCTGATTTTTCACCTACTTCTTGGCCTGGAGGTATCTCTAACCTTCTCAGCTTTGTGTTTTCCAAACCCATAGGCCGTCATTTCTGGAGATGTGATTTTGGTGTGTTTTTTCTGTATGGGTTGTGTACCTTTTACTGTCTTTCCACAGTTGTGTTATTTTTATGCATGGATTATCATGGTGCTCTTTTTCTAGTGATGTTAACGCAGATGAATTTGTTACTGGGTAGGCTGTTGGTTCTCTTCACGCACAGGGCACAGCCCTCACCCCTCCTGAGGAAGCGTGTTCCTTGCAGGTCTGGGACCACCGTGTGGGGACATTGGTGCACACATCACCAGTGCTGACAGGTAGGCTGCATGCCTTGGTTTGCGGTACTGCCCCTCACTGCCACTGGTGCAAACGGAGCACAGCCCCTCTCTCCCATGAATAGCCTCTTTACTCCCTTCTACACATTGAGAGGATTCACTCAGTAGTTGATTTCCTTGACATTTTAACTGAAGGTTAAGTCTGTGCTTGGAGAGTGTGTTTTTCTGCTTCAGCAAATGGGGAAGCACGTGCCCCTGGGCTGGTTTCGCCCCACCTTCTGTGTGGGCTGCAGGAGGGAGCCCTGGGAGTCCAGTGCGTGGTCCGAGAGGAGGTCAGTGCTCAGGCATCTGGCCCCTGTACCCCATTGTTTTGGTTACCTCGTGCCACTCTAACAGAAAATACCACAGGTGGAATGGTTTGAAACACAGGAGTTTATTTTCTTACAGTTTGGGAGGCTACAAGTCTTGAGTTCGAAGAGCTCTAGAGGCTGAGTGAAAGCCACTTGACCTTGGGCTTCAGCTCTGACTCCTGCCCCCAGCCCACTGGAGCTGGAGGCTTTCTGCATCCAGGCAGCTGAGGCTGACAACTCCAAGATCGACAGGTGCACAGGCACAGTCCCGATACTACCAAACCACACAGCAGGCCATTGATCCAAGTCCATTACGAGTCCCAAGATCGGCAGACAACGTGACAGGCTGCTGAATGACGACTCAGCTACATGCAGGATTCAAGCATGCCAAAACCTAGAGACCTTTCTCAATTCTTATGTACTGGAAACAGACCACATCCCTAAGGCAGCTACTCAGCTGCTCTAGTAGATTCCAACTGCCACACCCGTGGGTTCTAGGTCCTCACACCCTGCCTGGTGTTAAAAGGATAAGTGGAGGACCACCTGGGTGGGGGGATCTGGGGGTTAGGGTTAGAGTTAAAGTGAGGGTTAGAGCTGTGGTTAGGGTTAAAAAAAATGAAACAAAACCAAAACCCTAAAACCTGTTGCTGTCAAGTTAGTTCTGGTGTAACAGGTGCCACTCATTCCTCTCATTACCATTTCCATCGTTATTTCAGTACTTCTCTTATTTTCTGCTCACTCGAGAAGCACTGAGCGAAGTTTGATGCTTGAGGACTGCTGGTCGGGGTCTTCCTCAACTCTTGTGAAGCTGGTGGGCTCTGTGCTCAAGGTGTGACCACACCATGCTTCCTGTTTGGGGTGTGATTTCCCAGGACTCGTGTGGCAGACGGTGACCCACACACCTTGCAGTAATTTGGGATAACGTCCCTGTCTTCTCTCATAGTCATGGAGTTTCAAAATTTATATGCGTTTGTAGTGTTTACTGTTTTTGTGAAGAATTATGTTCCACGTTGGGCCAGTTCCGACTTGCCTGAAGAAGCATGCAGCGTGCTTGCGCCCTCAGACGGGTTGGAAGCTGTGCCACCTCCGTTCCTTCCTCTAGCATATCCTCTCCTCAGCGTCTTTATTGATGAAGACACGAAGCAGCTCGTTGCTGGATGTGCTGATGGTCAGGTGAGCAGACCATACGCCCACCTTCCAGCTTCTGGGTGTTGTGACGGTGGCCTGGATGTGCACAGGGGCTCTGGGCTTCAGGCCCACGTGGTTGGCGGGGCTGTGCACTCTGGGCTGAGCCCCCAGGTGTCCCCGGCATCACTGGTGAGCTGGGGCAGCCGGGCCTCCCAGCTGTGTGCCAAGGCCGCTCTGACTGCGCTGGTCTGCAGCTGGGCCTCGGGTTTCCCACAGCCCGCCCTGGCCTCTGGCACCAGCTCTGTGTAGTTTCCAGATCATCACTTTGGGATCTGGGAGATGGGTTTTCTCTTTCTGAGAAAGTTGACTGCTCTTCCCTGTGTCTAGCCTCCAGTGGTAGGGCTGCGTGGCCCTCTTGGCTCTGCAGATGGGGGTATAAGGTGTGGAACAGCGTGGAGATGGGGGGCTGTAACTAGCAGGCAGCATTCCCTCTTCCTTAGAGTGCTTCTAGAAGACACGTACACGGTGTATACAGTGTACACATGTATGCGGTGTCTGTACCTGCAGTGAGTATGCTTCAGACAGACCCCTAGGGAGGAAGGGCCCCAAGGTTCTGGTGCGTGGGCAGGAAGGCCACACGTGCGGGACAACAGTGTAGAAGATGACCATGGGGACTCTCAGGCCCTTGCTGCCACAGGTCTTGCCCATTCGTAGCCTGTGGCTTTGCTGTTTGCATGCGTGTCACTTGGGAGGCAGACGTGTCTGTGTGTGTGGCTCTTTCAGCTTTGGATCTTCAGTTTGGTTGAAGCACATCATTACCGGTGTGTGGTGCATATTGACCTGAGGAGAAAGATGGAGTGTTTGTCCGCCGCAAAGGTGCCATCTGGACTGCACAACCCCTCAGGTAAGCTGCTCAGACCTCCCCTCTCGCTGATGTCTGCTGACCTAGCACCACCCACTGAGCAGCACAGGGGCGCTGTGTGGATGTGGAGGGGCAGAAGGGATGGAAGATTCACAGCTGTGAGCCCAGGGGGTGGCGCAGGTGAAGATGGGGGGCATCCCAGGTGGGTGAGAATGGGGGTGGCTGATGGAGTGCTCCTCTCCGAGGACATGTCCTGGACAGTGGGCCTGCTGGACACTTCTTGTAGAAGTGGGGTGCTCACGCTGAGTAGGACCCATCATCTGCCGCCCCCACTGGCCACTTGCCTGTGGGGGTCAGGGGTCAGGGTCAGTCCTGACCTCAGTGTGGCTCCCACTTGCCCGCACCCACCCTGCGTTACTGTGTCTCTGGATCAGAGGTGCTCTAGCAGGGCGGCCTCCACTGGGCTGTGATGTTGCTTCTCAGCCCAGTGGGGGCTCCTTCTGGGGGGCTAGTGCCCCCACCCCCACTAACCCTCATGGGACAGCAGATACGTGCTCTGTGGACCCACCAGTCCACCGCACAGAGTTCATCCTTCTTTTCACGTTTGCCTCTTTCTGTAGATGGCTTTAAACGATTTTGTTTCAAAGCAGGTCAGGAGACACTGTGATTTTCCTAGTATGCCTGTGCTTGCCCCAAACCTTGGCTTTTCTTGTTTCTTTGTTGTTGTTATGTGTTATCAAGTCAGCTCTGACTTGTAGCGACCCTGTGCCCAGCTGGGGAAGCCCTGCCTAGTCCTGTGCGGCCTAACCATCGTTGCTATGCTTGAGCCTGTCACTGTAGGCACTGCGCCAGTCTATCTTGTTGAGGGTCTTCCCGGTTTTTGCTGACCCTCTGTGTGACCAAGCATGATGGGCAAGCAAAGGCTGAAGTTCTTTAGCGTGCCTGTTGATTACGGGTAGGGGCCCCTGTGTGACACAGATGGGGAGGCGCACAGCTCCTAGCTGGAAAGTGGGGAGCTCACATCCACCCAGTGGTGCCTGAGAAGATAGGCCTGTGCCCTGCTTCGGAAAGGTCACAGGCTTGACAACCCTGTGGAGCTGGTCTGCTATGTACCTTGGGGTCACTGTGAGGCGGAGTCATCTCCATGGCAACTAACAGCAACAACAACCTTTGTTACTAAGGTGACTTTTAACCCATTGTAGGAATGTGGGCTCAACTCTGTAAACTGACCATCTCTTCTTCCCCACCCCTTTGCTGGACTCTATACTTGCAATGCCCTTTGTATCCCTGGGGCCTCAGAATATCGCTCCAATTTTGATTTGAAACTTTGGTCTTTAAAGGGTAAGCCTTAAGTTTTTCCAGACACACGATTTGAATTGTTCTAACATATGTCACAAATGTGTTACCCAGCTTCCTGTTATGTCAGTTACATATGTTACACGTGTTCACTCAGCCTCCCTCCCGTTATGTCAGTTCTTGCCTTTTTTTTTTTTTTTTTTTTTTTTTTTTTTTGATCCTAGAGAAAG